CGCCGATTGGCTAAATGAATTGGGCTCTTGAGTTTTGTAATTTTAGGTAAGCTAGGACCGTAATGTAACGAATAGGTAAGTTAAGGCTACGTTGTAACACATACTCATTAATAGATTTAGAGTTTAAGTTTTATATTATTATTACTAAGTTGGAGCCCAAGGCATTACGTAGGTGGTGGGGTGGGTGCCGATTGGCTAAATGAATTGGGCTCTTGAGTTTTGTAATTTTAGGTAAGCTAGGGCTTAATTGTAATGAATAAGTAAGTTGAGGGTACGATAGCCGATTGACTCTGGATTTCAAAGTCTCTTGTCAGAGGTAAGCCTTGGTGGCCAGTGGTGAACCGGCAATGGTTTACTATCCGGACGGCAATGGTTTACTATCTGCACGGTAATGATTTACCATGCGGCACGACCATAGTCTACTACCCGCACGGCTTCCGGACGGCAAATGGTTTACTATCCGCACGGCAATAGTCTACTATCCGCACGGCAATGGTTTACTATCCGGTGCCCTGGCTGTCGGTGAACCTCTGTGCAAGGAGGGAGAATGAAGGGGGACTTTCGACTATCGTACCATTAATAATTTAATATAGATTAGTTAAGGTAATTGAATAGGTAGATAGGATTATTTTTATTAAGCAATTTAAGATGCAGGCACCGCTAAGCTTTCTGATGAGAATCTTCTCTTTATCTTTTTCCATCCCACGGGCTGTGTTTCAACAACAATCTCGAGGAGGACTGGCACCAGTTTTGGAGGACAACGTAGGAACCAGACCGCATTCAACATTCTGTCTTTGTCGATTGGACGACGGTAAGTTTTTTTACATTTTACTCTCTTTATTATTTTAAAGTATTATTTATTTGCCATTATTTTCATCTTACAATTTTTTGTTTCTAAGATTCTAGCATTCATTTACTACTACGCTGATAAAAAATTTTGTCTACAGAATGATGAGAGGTGGGCAGTGGTGGGCGTCAGCACGTTTCAGATGGTGGTCTCATGATGATTTACGTATGATGATGGTGGTGTAAAAAGAATCAGCTCGTTGGCTGTTCGACTGACACTCTGAAGTTCGGATGACATCTTGTGTGCCGACCAGATGGTGATGGTCGGTGCAATGAATTACTGTAACGACGATTTTTGAAGTAAGGTTTAGTTTTGTTTTTTTATTTCTCTCATTCATTCATTCAATCGTTCGTTTTATCATTCAATATTTCAAATTATTCTTCCATTAATTGATTCGTTAATTCATTCTATCCATTTATTCGTTTCTTTGTTCCTTGATTTACTACTACGCCAATAAAAAAAACTTGTCTATAGAATGAGAGGTGGGCTGTGGTGGGCATCAGACCGTTTCAGATGGGGGTCTTATGATGATCGTTCCGATGACAATTCAAGGAAAACAACAACGACGATTTTTGAAGTATGATTTAGTTTTTTTTTACTTTTCTCATTCATTCATTCATTCATTCATTTTATCACTCTCTTTCAAATTATTCCTTAATTAATTGATTCATTCATTCATTAAATCATTGATTAATTAATTAGTTAATTCACTCATTCGACCAATCATTCAGTTAATCATTTATTCGTTCGTTCTTTTGTTCCTTGATTTACTACTACGCTAATAAAAAAAAACTTCTACAGAATGATGAGAGGTGGGCTGTGGTGGGCGTCAGCACGTTTCAGATGGTGGTCTCATGATGATCGTTCCGATGACAATTTGAAGATAACATTAAAGGGAAATTTGTTTTTGTCCCATCGTACCTTTGAAAGTACTCGAATTCGAACAAAGGTTTACTTTATTATTTATTATTTTTATTACTTTTTTCCAATGGCTTGTTTTTTATTTTAAAGAATTAATATTTTTTTTCAATTTAGTGTTTTCAGTACCCGGTCAAATTCACTATTCCATCGGTGCGTGCCAGATGATGGTCGGTGCAATGGAGGTTCGTCCGTAATGAGTGAAGAAGTTTTTGGAGAGTACAGAC